TGGAGTGCAGTGGTGTGATCTCAGCTCATTGCATCCTCTGCCTCCTGAGTTTAAGGGATTCTCCTGCCTCAGCCTCCCAAAGTGCTGGAATTACAGGCATGAGCCACTGTGCCCAGCCCCCATAAACTTTTTTAAAGCATCAGTGGTTTCACCATTTACCTACCCAAGCTTCACCATAAATTTGATGTTTGTTCTCCCTTCAGTTTAAGCAGAATTCATGTTGCTCTGATAGGGGCACTTAATGTCTTATACTTCTTAGCACCTCAAACCAGATCCTTTTCAGGCATGTTATAACAAGTCAGTACAAGTTTATTTTGGTACAAAAATGTTTTCATAAATACATATTCTCTGTGACTTTTTTGAAGACCCCTCATATATCCCATTGTTATACTATGCCATTGAAATCTCTTTTACTCTAGAGCAGTCTCTCTCTTTTTTTTTTTTTTCCCCCTATCACAAACTGATTGATTGAAGAAGAGATTGGGCCCATTGTCTTATATAATGTCCCACTTTCTGATTTGTCTGATTATGTCCTCATGTCATTTGGCTTGTTCTTCTATCCCCTGTATTTTCTGTAACTGAAGTTAGCTCTAAAGGCTTGATTAGATAAAAGGTTAATGTCTTGAGGCAGAATACATAAAAGGTATTGTTGCTTTCATGTTGTATCACATCAGAAGAAAAAAGTACTAGGAAACAGGAACCTAGCAACAAAAATAATTGCATAGGCCAGCTGCAGTGGCTCACACCTGTAATCCTAGCACTTTGGGAGGCCGAGACGGGTGAATTTTCTGAGCTCAGGAGTTCGAGACCAGCCTGGGCAATACAGTGAAACCCCATCTCTACTAAAATACAAAATATTAGCCCCAGCATGGCAGCATGCACCTGTAATCTCAGCTACTTGGGAGGCTGAGACAGGAAAATCGCTTGAACCCAGGAGGTGGAGGTTGCAGTGAGCCACTGTTGCACCATTGCACTCCAGCCTGGGTGACAGAGTGAGACTCCATCTTAAAAAATAATAATACAAAAATTAGCCCAGCATGGTGGTGTGCACCTGTAATCCTAGCTACTCGGGAGGCTGAGACAGGAGAATCGCTTGAATGCGATTCTCAAGAGGTTCAAGAGATGGAGGTTGCAGTGAGCCAAGATCACGCCACTGCACATCCACCCTGGATGACAGAGCGAGACTCTGTCTCAAAAAAAGAGAATTGCATGATATACTGATGAGGAGAGTATTGCTGTTACTGAAGAAGGGGTAGCTTACAAAGCTTAGCCTGCCCACCTGCCACGATACATTCTTTTTCAAACCTAGGTCTGTTGTTGATTTGGACTACATGTGTTTGTCAAGGATAGGTTAGAGGCTGAGTAAGCTGTGCCGAAGTCTCTTTTTTTCTAAATGTATACTCATTTCCCCTAATTGCTAAACTTCCTTTGGACTGAACATACCTAGTGCTTGCTAGATTTGCTGAGTTCAGCATGCCCCTCCCACCCCCTGTCATACCACATCATGCCAGCCATAACAATCTCTGAAAAACCTGTAACAGTAGAGACCTGATCCACCAAAGGATTTGCCCAGTCTAGGGTTATTTGCAATCTCTTTATAGTAACCAACATTTGCCTCTTAGTGCAATAGTAATCCTGTGTCCTTAGAGACTCTTTTGTCCCTGACTGAGACAGGAGCTTCTCATTCTTAGAAGTGAAGTTGGGCAGGGAAGCCTTAAGCATCTCTAGAGTGGGCCCCTTGTAGCCCACTGATGAAAGCTGTGGATCTTTTTCCCAGAAAAAAATGCAAACACATTGACTCACAGGACATTTTACATGTTATTTTAGATCTTTCAAAAACTTCTGAGGAACACACATGTACCTATTTCAGGGATTTTATTACATGGCTAGCATTCTCTTACCTTTTACTGTTTCTTCTATTAATCCCAATGAGTGTTGCTGTTCTCTGGAGACAAGAGGGGAGAATATCAAAAGCCAAAAAGTTCAGTTTTCTTAAGGATGATTTTATTTGTCGTAATACCAGAAATTTTCAGGGGAATACTTCTCAATTTTTACAGTTAAAGTCAGAAGAAAAATAATTTTTTATATTCTCTCACAGTTAACTTTTCAGAAATGAATCTGTTCCATAGATTAAAACTCACTGGCTCATTTTAAGGTACTTCTAAAATGTCTTATTTTAACCAGATGACATATATGTTCCATATTTTAATTATTGAAAATATTTAAATGCAAAAGGTATTATAGTTGAATTTTTATTTTTTATCATAATAATTTCAACTTGTATAACTTCCTCATTTTAACTATTGTATGATTTCATTTTCTTCTTGTTTTAATAGTATATTCATTGCCTTCAAGAAAGCTGGTGGCTCTTCAGTTAAGATCCATTTTTATTAAGGTTAGTATGATGTAGTTGACTTTTTGTTTACTAAAGTGTAATGAGAAAATACCAAGTCAGTATCATTAGGAATTAACATTAAAAAATTACTACTGTTTTATTGTATGTACAGTTAAGAAGATCTGATTCTATAGAGAAATAATCTTACAGTATTTCAGATGTGTTTCCATTTTTTCATAATTATATAGAAAGGAAGTAGGACTTTTATCTTGAGTGTTATATACTTTGAGTTCATGGTGAAAACGTTTAAGCATATGAATAGTAGAGGTTTATTCCATTTGTATTACATTTCAGCTGGTGGCATCTACATATAAATTATATATCTATCAAATTATGTATGTGTCATAAAATATTCTGAATCCGACTTCTTTCTCCTCCACTGCTACCACTGAGTCCAAACCACTGGCATCTTCATGCCCCTGACTCTACTCTTGCCCCAGCCACCTCCCACCAACAGCAGGACCAATGATCCTCTTAACCTACACCGCATCGCTACTCTCTTCAGAACCCTCCCGTGGCTTCTCCTCTCACTCAAAATGAATTTGTGATCCAGGAAAAGGGGTTTGCTGCCTGATGCACTATGACACCGAGTTTTTGAAAAAACAAAGGCTTCATAAATTTTTCAAAATTTTTTTGAAAAAAGAAAGGCTTGCAAATTGACTCCCAAGAAGACAGGAGTCAAGCTCAAATCTGCTTCCCCATGTTGGCTTCAAGGCAGTGTTTTTATTAGAAAAGGATCAGAGGGTAGATTCTGAGATTAGTAGATTAGCGATGGAAGGAAAGGGGAGATCTGGAAAATCCTTTGGCATGCAAAAATCCTTCATGCTAACTCATAGGACCCATGTGCCAGTTTGGGGAATGAGCATGAAACATGGCGGTGGAGAGTCAGCTTGTGACACCAGCAAGCTTGTTCTGTGCAGACTTCAGTTGGCCATATTGGTTCCAACCAATTTCAGCCAATGCTTTTATCCCATAAGGGGAGGAAGTTTCAGTATTTTAGCAAGTTGTTTTTTATCTACTATGCTGCAAACTCAATCATTTCTTTCTTTCTTTCTTTTTTTTTTTTTTTTTTAAGACAGAGTCTCCTCTGTTGCCCAGGCTTAAGTGCAGTTCTATGATCTGAACTCACTGAAGCCTCTGCCATCCAGGGTTCAAGTGATTCTTCCACCTCAGCCTGTAGGATTAGAGGCACACGCCACCACGCTGGCTCATTTTTGTATTTTTAGTAGAGACAGGGTTTTGCCATATTGGCCAGGCTGGTCTCCAACTCCGGGCCTCAAGTGATCCACCCACCTTGGCCTCTCAAAGTGCTGGGTGGATTACAGGTGTGAGCCACGCCCAGCCCAAACTCAAGAATTTCTGTTAGTCATTGGTTTCTTTAACTTTTTGGGGATGGTTTCAAATTCACAGCCCTTTCTGGGGCCTATGAGGCTCTATGTCTATGCCATCTAATACGGTAGCCACTAGCCACATGTAGCTGTTTAGTTCCTCAATCACCCTAATCACGTTTCAAGTTCTCAGGAGCCCCATATGGCAAATGACCAGCATAACAAGAGTCATGGTGAGAGGGAGTTCTGCCAGACTGCTGCTCTGTGGAGTCTAACCTGCAGCCACACTGGCTTCCCTGTTGTTAGACATTAAGCTCATCCTGTCTCAGTCTTTCCACTAGTTTCGCTGCCAAAATTCATTTTCTTAGAGACCCAAATTGTTCACCTCCTTTAGTGTTTTCTTAAATGTTTCTTCATCAGAAAGGCCCTCCTAGATAGTCATTTCTTCCTTTTTTGAAACAGGGTCTTTCTTGCTCTGTCCCCCAGGCTGGAGTGTAGTGGCATGATCTTGGCTCACTGCAACCTCCACCTCCCAGGCTCAAGCTATTCTCCCATCTCAGCCTCCTGAGTAGCTGGGATTACAGGTATACACCACCATGCCCAGCTGATTTTTGTGATTTTCATAGAGGTGGGGTTTTGCCATGTTGCCCAGGCTGGTCTCAAACTCCTGAGCTCAAGCAATTCAGCTCCCCAAAGTGCTGGGATTATAGGTGTGAGCCACCGTACCTAGCCTCTTTTTTTTTTTTTTTTTTTTTTTTTTTTTCCTGAGTCAAGGTCTTGCTCTGCCCAGGCTTGGGTGCAGTAGCACAATCATAACTCACTGCAGCCTCGACCTCCTGGGTGTACCACTATGTCTGGCTAAATTTTTTAAATTTTTGGTAGAGAGGAGGTCTCACCATATTGCCCAAACTGGTCTTAAACTCCTAAGCTTGAAGGATCCTTCCACCTTGGTCTCCCAAAAGTGTTGAGATTACAGGCGTGAGCATCTGTGCCCAGCCTCTGACAACACTTTCTGTCTCCTTTTCCTACATTAACTTTCTTGAAACTCATCACTGCCTGGCAAGTCATTGATAGATTGAGATGGAGTCTTCCTTTGTCACCCAGGCTGGAGTACAGTGGCACAATCTCAGCTCACTGCAACTTCCACCTTGTGGGGTCAAGCGATTCTCCTGCCTCAGCCTCCTGAGCAGCTGAGATTACAGGTACATGCCACCATGCCTGGCTAATTTTGTATGTTTTTTAGTAGAGACGGGGTTTCAGCATGCTGGCCAGGCTGGTCTCAAACTCCTGACCTCAGGCGACCAACTCTCCTTGGCCTCCCAAAGTGGTGGGATTACAGGCATGAGCACCTGTCCCTTTTTTTTTTTTTTTTGAAATGAAGTTTCACTCTTGTCACTCAGCCTGGAGTGCAGTGGCGAGATCTCAGCTCACTGCAACCTCTACCTCGGGAATTCAAGCGATTCTCCTGCCTTAGCCTCCTGAGTAGCTGGGATTACAGGCGCCAGCCACCACACCTGGCTAATTTTTGTATTTTTAGGAGAGTTGGGGTTTCACCATGTTGGTCAGGCTGGTCTCGAACTCTTGATCTTAGGTGATCCACTGCCTTGACCTCCCAAAGTGCTATGATTACAGGTGTGACCCAGTGGGCCCCGCCAAAAGTAAGCTTCTGAAAAGAATGATGAAGTGTCATTTACTCTTATATCCCCAGCTCCTAAGATAGTGTCTTGCACATAGAGAAGCTCTCAGTAAATATTTGCTGAGAGATTTTTTGGAGTGACCTGAGGTATCATCTGTTCAGAAAGTTAGAAATACAGGATTTTAGTGATATGATTAACTGCATAGTACTTTCATTGAAGTATGACATACATGAGAAAAGTGCACAAATCATATAAGTATACAGCTTGGTGAATTTTTACGCAGTAAACCCTCTGTGAAACAGGCTTACAGATTAAGACATAGAGCATTGTCAGCACTCCAGAGGTCCCCATAATGCGTCCTAGTCAATATTCTGTTGGTGGAATCCTGTGGTCTGTACTTAGGGCAACTAGCTTCCTTCCTCAACTTTCTGTTTTTGGGGTTCACTCTCGTTTTTGGAAGTAACCAAAGTTCTTTCATTCTCAGTTCTGTGTGGTGGTAAGTTGTATACATAAGCCATAATTCATCCATGGTACTTCTGAAATTGCATTATATTTTTTCCAGTTTTCTAACTATTATGAATAATGCTCCTAAGACTATTTTTAATTCTTACATTACAATCACTGCTTTCTTTTGTTAACAACATTATAAACCCAAAGTTTTGCAGGGAGAGTTCATAATATTTTTACATTGTACCACATGGCTTTTTGTTCTCTTCCTAATCAATGTAAGTTAAAAAATTATTTAACATATAATTTAAGTTTTTGGCAGCTGGAAGTAAAGAGTGATTTAAAAATAGCAAACATTTATTGAGCATTGATTCTTTGCACTGGTACTGTTCTAAGTACCTTATATTTATTACTTAATCCTCACGACAGTCCTATGAGACAGGTACTAGTATTATCTTCATTTTTCAAAGGAAATACTGAAGTACAGAAAGGTTAAGCAGTTGCCTGAGACATGGTCTGTGGGAGGCAGGACCAGCATATTCCAACCCAGGCAGCCTGGCTCCAGAGCCTGCCTCTTTTCTTTTCCTTTTTTTTTTTTCTTTCTGAGATGGTATCACTGTATTACCCAGGCTAGAGTACAGTGGCACAATTATGGCTCACTGCAGCCCTCACCTCCCAGGCTCAAGTGATCCTCCCACCTCAGCCTCCCGAGTAGCTGGGGCTACAAACGTGCACCACCATGCCTAATTTTTTTTTATTTTTAGGAACAGGGTCTCACTATATTGCCTAGGCTGTTCTTTAACTCCTGGGCTCACTCAATCTGCCCACCTTGGCCTCCCAAAGTGTTGGAATTACAGGAGTGAGCCACCATGCCTGGCCCAGAGCCTGCCTTTCTTAAGCTCTATACTAGACTACCTTCTTATTTTTAAAAGTTAGCCTGCATTACTTACTTGCATTTTAAAATTTATTGAATAGTTATTTTGTGGGCAGTCCTTGAAAAGTTTTCATAAAGTGGGCTCCCCCAGAATTTTATGACCCACATTCCAGATTTACCAACTTTTAACATCTTGCCACACCTGCTTGATCTCTCGCTTTCTACGCATGTACACGCAGTTTCCTTCTTCCAAACAATCCAGAAGTAGGCTAGCAACATAATTGTGTCATCCCTACATACTTCAGCACACCTCTTACAAGAACAAGGACACCATTACCCCAACAAGGACACCATTACCCCAGGAAAACCAGCATTTAATGAATTATTCAATAGTATCATCCAACATATTCAAATTTCCCCAGTTGTTCCCAAAATATCCTTCAATTCTGGATCCATTCATGGTTCGCAGGTTGTGTTTGGCTGTTACATCTTTTTAGTTGTTATCCTTCAGAGTTAAATTGGCCTGCCCCTTTCTTTCTTTATAATATTCACTACTTTGAGGAGTCAGGGCCGGATGTGGGGCATTCCCCATTCATCTGATTGTTTCTATGTGACCAAATTCGGGTCACAAATTTCTGGCAAGAGCCCCTCACAGATGACCGTGTATCGGTTATTAGGTAACAATCAATTACTTAAGTAGAGAACTGGAAATTCTCCTTTGTCCTCATGATTCATTGATTTTTTTTTTTTTTTTTTTTTTTTGAGACAGAGTCTTACTCTGTTGCCCAGGTTGGAATGCAATGGTGCGATCTTGGCTCACTGCAGCCTTCACCTCCCGGGTTCAAGTGATTCTCTTGCCTCAGCCTCCTGAGTAGGTGGGATTATAGGTACCCGCCACCACGCCCAGATAATTTTTGTATTTTCAGTAGATATGGGGTTTCACTATGTTGGCCAGGCTGGTCTCAAACTCCTGACCTCAGGTGATCCACCTGCCTCCCAAAGTACTGAGACCACAGGCATGAGCTACCATGCACGGCCATTCATTTCTTAATTATAAAGATACTTTAGATAATTCACTGGTCTTTTACTTTCAGTTTAAGCACAGTAAGTGGATCGGAAAATAATTGCAGTATATATAAATGATATATCATCACATAAAGTTGATGAAATATATAGAATGTTCGTATGTTCTAAGACTAACTTTTAGATTTTTTTTTTATTCTCTCAATGGTATGCAAAGTATAAATCAAAGCCATTCTGTGAAAAACTGCTTTCCTGGGTGAAAAGTAGCAGCTGTGCCAGAGTCATCGTTCTTTCAAGCAGTCATTCATATCAGCGTAATGATCTGCAGCTTCGTAGGTATGTTCCTGCCTCTGGAAAGTTATTTTTGGTATGGATTATACTATGATAATTTCCCTATTAAAAAGTTAACCTTTAAAAGCCATGTAGATCCTTACCTCTCCTCACTAGAGTTTAGAAAGAGGAGGGTAAAAGAAAGTCAGGAGATGGGAGGGAGTGCAGTTAAACAAATCTTTTCAGTTCCTGTGAGCTGAGTAGAGTTGGGGCACAGGAAGACTTGGTTTAAAGAGAGAGAGAGATTGGGAACCATGCCTTAGTGTTTCCTGTCACAGGCATGACAACATCACAGAGCTCAGCTAACTAAGAGAACAGGAGAAAAGGTACTCAAGATTTATTGGTTGATAACTTTTGAAAGATTAATATTTTCACTTATTTCCATATATGCAATCATTTTTTAAAAAAAACATTTACTTTTTAGGCCAGGCGCGGTGGCTCACGCCTGTAATCCCAGCACTTTGGGAGGCCTTGGCGGGCGGATCACGAGGTCAAGAGATTGAGACCGTCCTGGCCAACATGGTGAAACCCCATCTCTACTAAAAAAAATACAAAAATTAGCTGGGCATGGTGGCACGTGCCTGTAGTCCCAGCTACTCGGGAGGCTGAGACAGAATTGCATGAACCTGAGAGGCGGAGGTTACAGTGAGCCGAGATTACACCACTGCACTCCAGCCTGGTGACAGAGCAAGACTCTGTCTCAAAAAAAAAAAATTTACTTTGAGACAGGGTCTCGCTATGTTGCCCAGGCTGGTCTCAGAATTCCTGGTTTCAAGCAGTCTGCCTGCCTCAGCCTCCAAAGTATTGGGATTGCATTTGTGAGGCCACTGCACCTGGCCACATGCTACCATTTGTATTTGCAGAAATCCACTTGCCTAAAGTGTAGCCCCCTGGCATATCAGAGTGAGTTCTTAAATGGAAGACAAAGTATCCCAGAAATAGAACTATAAGCTATCATTATCACATAACATTGGTAAGATATCATATAGAATACTCTCATACTCCAAGATGTAGCTTTTATTTTCATTTTTATTTTTTGAGACAGAGTCTTGCTCTGTCACCCAGGCTGGAGTGCAGTGGCACAATCTCACCTAACTGCAACCTCTGCCTCCTGGATTCAAGCGATTTTCCTGCCTCAGCCTCCTGAATAGCTGGGATTTACAGGTGCCTGCCACCATGCCCAACTAATATTTGTATTTTTAGTAGAGGCAGGGTTACACCATGTTGGCCAGGCTGGTCTTGAACTCCTGACCTTCGGTGATCCACTTGCGGGCCTCCCAAAGTGCTGGGATTACAGGCATGAGCCACTGCACCTGGCCCTAAGATGTAGCTTTTAGATAATTTATTTTTTATTTTGGGGGGGATGGAGTCTCGCTCTGTCACCCAGGCTGTAGTGCAGTGGTGCAATCTTGGCTCACTGCAACCTTTTTAGATCACATAGATCATAACTTTTATTATTTATATACGTATAAAATCAGGATGAAAAAAATACCAGTAAGCCAAGTTACCTTTCAAAATGAGCTAATTTATAGAACTTTCACAAAAGACATTACAGGCTTCGTGGCAGAAGGGAGCATAGCTGTGGGAGATTTTTGCGGTGAGCCTGCCTAAGTGTTTCTGTCTCTTTATATTGTCTCCTAATTATGTAAGTAGCAAATCAGAGCAATATTTTTTACTTAGGTCTGCTGATACTTGTTTTTTGCCTGTGCAGCAGAATATACAGAGACCAAGAGAATTTTAGCTAGAGAACCAATGTTTGCCTTCAAGTTCATATTTGTGACTTTTTAAAAAGTTAACTATACGATTATTTCTAGTACTCCATTCCGGTACCTCCTTACACCTTCTATGCAAAAAAGTGTTCAAAATAAAATAAAGAGCCTTAACTGGCAAGAAATGGAAAAAAGCCGGTGTATTCCTGAAATAGATGATTCCGAGTTTTGTATCCGTATTCCAGGAGGAGGTATCACAAAAGCACTCTATGATGAAAGGTGAGTTTGTTTGCCTGTTCATTTGTTTCCCACTTTACTTAAAAATGAAATTAGGCTGGGTGTGGTGGTTTACGCCTGTAATCCCAGCACTTTGGGAGGCCAAGGCGGGCAGAGGTCAGGAGACCTATCCCGAAGTCAGGAGATAGAGACCATCCTGGCTAACACAGTGAAACCCCATGTCTACTAAAAATACAAAAAATAAGCCAGATGTGGTGGCGCACGCCTGTAGTCCCAGCTACTCTGGAGGCAGGAGAATCGCTTGAAGCCTGGAGGCAGAGATCGCAGTGAGCCAAGATTGCTCCAGCCTGGGTGACAGAGCAAGACTCCGTCTCAAAAAAAAAAAAGGAAATTAATGCAGTGAGCTGAGATCGCGCTACTGCACTCTAGCCTGGGCGACAGAGGAGATTCTGTCTCAAAAACAAAATGAAATTAAGACAGTCGGAATATATTGGATTACTTATTGAAACTTTGAAAATATATTTATAAAACAGGTACTATTTTAGAGCTCGTATTTAGGAGAGAGATTTAAACTTGGTTATAGAATTGTTTCCTAAAAAGTTATATTTAGTGCTTTATTTTGTATGACTTTTTAGGGCTTCTGATAGTCTTTGCAACCTCTACAGGCAAACTTATTTCTCTATTATTTCTCTCTTCTCTAGTTTTTATTTTCTTCTGCAGCTTTGGGTTTGGTTTGCTCTTTTTTCTCTTTCCCAAGGTGTCAACTTAGGTTATTGATTTAAAAGTTTTTTCTTTTTTACTGAATGTATTTACAGCTATAAATTTCCCTCTTAGCACTGCTTTCACTACAATTTGACATGTTGTGTTTTAATTTTCACTTATCTCTCAGTATTTTCTCATTTCCCTTGTGTTTTTGTTGTCCTCCTTGCAAACACCTACCTCCTTTCTAAGAGTCAGCTCACCCTTCACCTCCTGTCTGCAGCCTTGCCTCTTCCTGTCTTCTAACAAGGAAGTTGCCAGTCTCTGCACTCCACCTCTTCTATACTTTGTTGCACTTACCTTACAGATCAGTCCTCCTAGACTATTGCTTCCGACCAATTAGAGTCACTAATACCAGACTTGCCCTCCTGCCATAAAAAAACTGGAACTGGACAGAATTTACGAAAACAGCTGTTTTCCAGACATTAGACTACAGGCAGCACACAACTGTCATCCCTGAGAGAAGGCAAATTTTAAAAGTCTACAGTTGCCCGGCTTTCCGCTGGGAGATACTTCTGGACTGCAGCACAGGCAGGGGAACCCAAACAGAGCACAGTGGTCTTGCTGAGTGGAGATGAGTTAAGACTACAAGGAGCCAAGGCAACTGGAAATACAGGGCAGAGAACCAGAGGGCAGGGGTGGCTCATAAGAGTCCGGAGGTCTGTCTCCTTGGGTCTTTTTCTGAATTCTAAGCTATGAGTATAAGGTGAAACTATGAGGCCAGGGAAAGAACAGCTTCTGGGTAGTTACAAGCTTGCCCACAAAGTTAGCAGTGATAAACAGAAAATATTTTAAAAGTTAGACCTACTCAGCATCGAACATTCTGGAAATGCAGATTACCCTAAGGAAGCAATATTTAAAATACTCAGTTGTATCAACCAGAATAAAATAGTTCCAAATAAAAAAGTAATAAAATAGTCATCCTCTGCCTTTCTTTTTAACACAAGGCCAGAGGGTAATAGTAAAATGATTATCCCACACTATGTTACAAACTAACAGAGGCGCAGTAAGCTGAAGAGCATGCCCTGCACTTTCCAAGTTAAAGCCTTAAAAATGCAGGCACAGCCTGAGAGGCAGCCTTCTTCAGGCGAGAGCCTTGCCAGAGGCCATCAATGCAGAGGCACTTAGGAACTGGAATTTTCTTAGCCATCAGAGCTAATAGTGGTTCCACACAAAGATTGAGAGCCCCTAGGGTATTTGAGAACCAAGTCCTGGGCTAGTGTGAATGGGGCTAACATTTTCTACTTTCTGGTTTTTAGAGACTGAGATACTGTGGTAAGTTAGCCTGGTATCATCTGAGACTTCCTAACATGCATACCAGTCTCCTCTGTGTCTTAAATCACTTTCTTAGAACTTCGCTCACTTTTATTTCTGTAGCTCTCTGTCAGTCTCATGCTTTCAAGTTTTGGCATGGCATTTTTCTCATAGTTCTTGGGTTTTAGGGTATTAGGAATAATTTTTGCATTTACTAGCAAGCAGAACACTTTTTGCATTGGTATATCTTCATCTCACTAGCTTGAGGCGTTTACAGTATGATAGGAGACTTACGTTTTGGAGCTAGAGAGACCTAAGTTCATGTACCATCTCTGCCACTTACTAGATATACAACTTTGGGCATGTTAACTATGTATTCAATCTCTTTAAACCTGTTACCTCAGAAGAGTAGCCAATACCTCTGTCATATTTACTATGTGGTCACTGTTTTAAGCATTTTGCCTCTACTACCTTTCAACCTCACAACAATCTGTGAAGTAGGTTCCATTATCATCCCCCTTTTATAGATGAGGAACACCCCTGGTTAAGTAACTTGCCCAAGGTATCTGGTAAGTGGAAGAGCTCGAATCTGAATCCTGGTGTCTGTCTTTGTTCCCCTTATTCCAAACTGATTCATTTATAAGATGGAGCTAATTATTAGCTTCCTCAGGATTATTACAGGGATTGAGTCATAAAATTTGCAGATAATGCTTTAACACTTAATAATCACTCAACCATTTTTTCGAAGAAGTAGTGACTTTTCTTTAATGATTCCATTAGCTTCCACAATTTCCCTCACTGCTTTAGATTATTAGTAACTAGGTGTTATTTTTTTTCAGCCTCTGCTGTAGTGCTTCTGAAAATTACCATCTTCTGAAGCAGGTTTGGGGAGTAGATCAGAACATAACATATCTGCTGTAGCCAAGGACAGAAAGGCTGCTTTTTCATGCAGCAGTGGGGTGAGGCATGATCGTGCATGTTCCCCAGTGTTACAGAGGCCTGCTCTCACAAGTAGAAAACATCATGTGGGGCAAAGGGAGATGATAAGTGATCTTATAATGTGGTATCTTTTCCTTTCCTAAAACCAGGCAGGTTATCATAGCTGTAAAAACAGACACACTAGAGTCAGCTGTTGTACCTGTGAAAAAATACTGATTCTTATTTTTATTTCTTTTAGCTGTTCTAAAGAAATCCAAATGGCAGTTCTGCTGAAATTTGTTTCAGAAGGGGACAACGTCCCAGATGCATTAGGTCTTGCTGAGTATCTTAATGAGTGGCTTCAGATAATCAAACCACCTGTAAGTTTTATTATAGCTTAAGCCTCTTCTTTGTCTGATTGTGTGTATTCATTAATTTGCATTTTATATACTACCTAAGTCGACCAAATAAGGTTTATATTAAATATAGACATATCTTTACAAAAAATTTAGTTTAAGCTGAATTTTTGAAAATGAGAGGACAGTTAACCAACCTATTATTTACAGTTGTTTAATTAAAGCTGACTTTCCGAGGTGGGCGGATCACAAGGTCAAGAAATCGAGACCATCCTGGCCAACGTGGTGAAACCCCGTCTCTACGAATAAAATAAATAAATAAATCTGACTTTGGGAAAAGGAACATCCTTAATTCTTCATTGTACTTACTATTCATGTTACATTAATTATGCCAGACATAGTCTTGCAATAATAAACAAGCCTTCTTTGGAATTCAGGAATTTTTTTAGGAAAGTAAAAAGTATTGCTATGTCATCAGTAATACTGTAGCTATTGAATATGTATTAGAGTTGGTATTTTTCTTTATTATGAAATGAGAGCATTATACCCAGGAAAGTGAGTTAGCCCTTAGGCATAACAGAACACCCCATAAGGCTGCTTTATAAGGTGGGTAACTGGCTTTTAAATTCATGCTTTTGCCAAGATACAAATCACATGATTTTTTTTTAACCCCTATTCTTTTTTAATGTGATTTTCCCTAATAGATTTCATCTGCAGCCTTTCTGGCATCTCTTTATAATTTGGAACTTAAAGAAATTTATCTTCAGTTAACATGAAGACAAAGAAACTTTATTTCTCCTTAGCAGTAAAACCTGGCTATAAAAGTATCAACCAAAAGAAACAAAAAGGAGAGTTTTATAATACATATTAAAAGGAAATTTAATGGTAAAGTTTAAAGATTAAAATATTTTGTTCTTCAATTACAGAGTGATGAAAAAGCAGCTACTTCACGGTGGAAAATACCAAGTTCTTGGAGATTACTCTTTGGCAGTGGTCTTCCCCCTGCACTTTTTTGATCTGTTTTCCTTTTTATACCTTATACCCAAAACACTTATTACCAACACAACTATTAAACATTCTATACAGAAAATTGTATGATCTGAGAATGAATTAGGAAATTACTTTCATGGCAGATATTAAAGAAAAAAAGATTAAGGGTCATGCTTTTCATTATATACAACAAATGTAAATTTTGTATAATAAAATTTTATATCCTAAGTAGTTTTGTCTTAAATGTATTTTTTTTTACAATTCAGACTCTGTATTAGCTTCCTAGTTCTGCTGTAATAAATCACCACAAACTTAGTGACTTAAAACACACGGTTTAATTTGTACATTAATTAATTTTCATTATGTATTTTAAGTGAAATGAGGCGAGTTCTTGCCATGTTGCCCAGGCTGGTCTCAAACTCCTGGGCTCAGGTGATCCTCCTGCCTTAGCCTCCCAAAGTGCTGGGATTACAGGCATTACATCACCATGCCCAGCCACAAATTTGCTTTTAAATTCAGACTTCTGAGTTCTAGAAGTTAGAAATCCAAAAATGGGTTTGACAATGCTGAAGTTGGGGTGATTGCAGGGTGGTGCTCCTAAGGAAGGCCTTAGGGAGAATGTGTTTCTGCTGGTTTCCATCTTCTCAGGGCTGCCTTATTCTTTGGCTCATGGGCCCTTCTATCTTCAAAGCCAGCAGTTTAGCATCTTCAAATCTCTTTCACTTACAAGGACCCTGTAATTACATTGGGCCCACCCCAATAATCCAGGATAGTTTCCCCAACTCAAAAGAATTTTAGTATAAAAGAAATAATAAAAATAGTTTTCATTTTTAAGTGCCTGCTGCATACCTGTCACTGTTCACCCCTAATCTTCGGGATCTACGATTTCGCTGTGTTACCTCTGCCTTGGCTTTCTCTCTCTCTTTTTTTAAATATTGTTGTAAAAGCCTACAGCACCCAGTATTCCCAGGTGGCCTCCCATCGAAGTACTAACCAGGCCCGACCCTGCTTAGCTTCTGAGATCAGATGAGATCGGCGCATTCAGGGTGGTATGGCTGTAGACTGGGCTTTCTCATCTGTAAAAGAAGGGCTTGTAATATTTAAGAATATACCCTACCTCCCAGCACTCAAATATTTCCTTTTGATATGCAAAGCATTCTGGATTCTGTGAACTAGTTCTCTTTCCGTTTTGGTTAAAATATGAAGTGGGGGTTGACATCAGCAAGATGGCAAAATAGGAAGAAGTACCAGTCATTATTACCGCAAAGAAACACCAATTTAATTTATAGACCAAGATACCAGAAACCAGTTCAGTTGCAAGTGAGTGCAAAATTTGAAATTAGTAAGAAGAGTCATTTTGAGGGCGCCAAGATGACACAGCTCCCAGCGATTGAGATGCAGAGGGCTAGAGGACTTCATGATTCCAAACAAGGTGCCGGGTTCTTTTCTGTGGGACTGATAGGGCACTGGAATTAGGCCCAGGGAAGGAGCCACAGGGCGAGAGCTGCCCACTGGGGCAAATCAAGAGAGCAGGGGTTGTGTGCCTACCTGAACGGTGCAGCCAGCTCGGAGGGTTGGGAACTCAACCCCCTCAGTGCTCTGATTCGCATCCTGTGCTTACCTCATCCCTCCTGCAACCCACTGTCCACAAGAGCCCTACCAGACAGTGGGGAGCTGTGAGTAGTCAATGCAAATCTGAGCAGTGGCTACCGCCAGGCTCAGCAAGTTGTCACAGGAACCTGGGCGGGAGTTTGGACTACGGTCAGCAGGACTGACCTTCCCACAGAGGGAGGCAAAGTTGAAAGCAGGGAAACAGACCATGGGCCTGGCAGGCCCCACCTCCACAGAACTCAAACTGAAGCCCCCACTAGAGAGCTTGGCAGCAAATACACCAGCTTGACCCCAACCAGGAAGATCGAGCTCTGGGAGAGATGCCATTGGGAAGGTGGGGCCAATCTCATCTGCAAACAAACTCCAGGGAAGGACCACCCACCCAGCAACCTGACTGAACCTGAGAGAGCCCAGCAACGCACTCTACAGGCCAAAAAAGATACAGCTCCAACCTCAACAGAAAGTAAGTCCACTCAGAGACTCCTCCTGAAATCACCAACTTCAAAGATTAAAGGGAGATAAATCCACGAAGATGGGGAAAAAACAGCTCAAAAAGGATGAAACCACCAAAGAACAGAACACCCCTTCTTCTCCCAGGGATCACAACTCCTCACCATCAAGGGAACAAAAAAACAGAATGACTGACAAATTGACAGAAGCAGGCTTCAGAAGGTGGGTAATAACAAACTCCTCTAAGTTAAAAGACCATGTTCTAACTCAATGCAAAGAAACTAAGAACCATGAAAAAAGGTTAGATGAAATGCTAACTAGAATAA